AAAAATTTTTACTAATTAAAAATAAAATTTAATTAATAAAAATTTTTGCATTAACTTTATAATTAGAGCAACTCTTTTAAAAAAAAAATTATAAATTTTAATATAGAGAGAAATTTCAATTTTCACTATATTTTATTAATAAATTTAGTTTCTGAGTCATTACTTTTAATTATTATTATATATAATATATTTTTATTATTATAAATCTTTTTGAATTTTTAATAATATAACAGATTATTAAATATTAAAATATTAATTAATTATTAATATATAATTTAATATTCTTAAATTTTAATATTTCAATATTTTTAAAAATAAGTATTCTTATTTTTTATAATAAATTTCTATAATAAAATAAATTAGACAAGAGAAAAAAAGATAATATTATTATTAACTGAAAATTAAATATAAATAATATTTTTTAATTAATTATAAGTAATTCTTAATATAGTTTTATTTAATAATTATATCTTAAATAATTAAATAAAATTATTTTTCAAATATAAAAATAATTATTTATAGATTTTGAAAAAGTTTAAATAAATTTTTATTAAGTTATCATTATTTTTTTGTATAATTATTTTTTATATTATATAAGAAATTTAATAAGAAATATTAATAATTTTTATCTAATAATTATATTTTAATAATTAATTAAAGTTATTTAATAAATTTTCATTAAGTTATTATAATTTTAATTATTTTTTATTCTAGATAGAAATTTTGATAATGATATTAATAACTTTCATATAATAATTATATCCTATATAACTAATTAAAGTTATTTATCAAATATAAAATAAATCTCAATTTTAATTATTATAATTTATAAGTAATATTAATGATTTTTATTTAATAATCATATTTATATATATTTAAAAAATAAAATTTTTTTTTCTCATATTTCATATTTCATTTTAATATCTTATAATTCTATATTATATTTTTTAAATTTAATTATTTATAAAAAGCAAAAAGAATTTTTTTGTCCCATATTTCATATTTAAATAGGTAATAAAAATATAACTTATATAATAATTTCTACTTAACAACAATGTTGTGAGTAACTAAGTAGAGTTGTTTAGATGATTTTTTGTACGTTCAAATATAAATCAGATGCGATTTGTGGAAAGAATCAGTATTCCTTCTTAAAATTATGTGATATATGGCAATCACAAAATGTCACAAAAATTTTGTGATAAACACATAATTCATATATATATATCGCTACAACGCGTAAATGAAACAAAAAAACAATAGCCATTCCATTAGTACTGTTGTTAGCTGTCTGACAAGTGGGAATCGCCAGTGGTCATGGAGAGATTCAAATAAAATAGAACAAAAAAATGAAGATAATAATATAACAACGAATGGCAAACGAAAAGATAATGATCCGCCCGAAGACACAATAAATAGAAAAACTAAAAAAGCAAAGTCCCAAAGATTTGTTACCGACGAAACAGCAGATCTTAACACAAGAAAGCCCGAAACAAATCAAGATTTTGAGCGAGCTCTGCTTGGCTCACCGAACTCGTCGGTCCTTTGGTTACAATACTTGGCTCATCAAATTGGCATGGGAGAAATACAGAAAGCACGTGAAATTGGTGCGCGTGCCTTGGAAACCATTAATCAGGTGGAGGAAACGGAACGAATGAATGTTCATAAGGCTCTGATTAGTTTGGAAGTGCAGTTTGGTAGTGAGGAGGATGTTGCAAGAGTATTTACGAGTGCGTTGCAAGTCTGTAATGCGAAACCATTATATTTCGCATTGGCAGATGATTATGAAGTACATGGAAAAATTAAGGTAAATTTTACGAGTCAATTAATTCGCTTACTTGATTAATGCCGTATATACAATGATAATATACGAACTTTAGTTTCTCTTACTTAGGCAGCCGAGGAAACATATCGAAATATGATGAAAAAGTTTCCTGAAGATTTAGAAGTGTGCTCAAAATTTGGGTTATTTTTATTCCAGCAGGGTAAAAACGAAATTGCTAGGGAGTTACATAAAACATGCTTAAAAAGGTTTGAAAAGCGTGATCGTAAGTATTTCTTTTGCACATATTTCTTTCTTTCACTCTAATTCCATACTGATAAATAATTTGATAGAAATTCAAATAACCACAAAATTTGCCACAATGGAATTCAAACATGGCGAAGCGGAACGAGGACGCACAATTTTTGAACGTTTGGTGCAAGACAATCGTAAACGTTCCGATATTTGGTCGGTTTGGATTGATATGGAAATAAAGATTCTGAGTGAAGATACAAATAAAAATAATAACACTAATATAGAGAAAGTTCGGTTAGTGATATCTCAATTTCTTCTAGCATAAATTATTGATATGAATTTTTGCAATTATTTGATGTTCTCTTTGTTAATATTTTTTTAGTGCATTATTTGAACGCGTGACTGCAATAACTTTTTCATCAAAAGTGATGAAATTTCTCTTGAATAAATGGATGAAATTCGAGGAGGAATTTGGTACATTAGAGTACATTGAAAAAGTAAAATTAAAAGCAATAAATTATGTCGATTCAAAACGAATCGAGAGGGTTTGAACGATATAAAAGAATCAACCAAATTTTGAACAGCATGCTTGTAATGAAAAACTTGTGTGGATTTTTTTTATTGTGCAATCAGAAAATCCTAGCATTACATGCTAGCTATATAATTTTTTAACCAAATTTCGAAAAATGATTTGATAAGATACAATAAAAAATCCTATAAGAACTGATATAAAGCGATAGTTATTTCTTTTCACATAAACATATCGTTATAACCCTAATTAAATTGTAAAAATGAACGTAGAAAGATTAGCAAGAACATGATGATAACACATGATTATATATGGTTACTTACTGGTGGAGGTATCTCATCAAAATCCGGTTCACCACTAAAAAATAAATTCGCTTTAAGTATTCTATAAATATATATAATTTGAAATTTCTTTTACATTAAAGCTTCACCTAAAAATTCCACTTCCACCACGTCCTCCACCACGTCCTACACCGCCACGACCTCGAGGACCAGGTCCAAATGGTAAAATTTGATCAAACCTTGCACCAGGTGGAACAGCACCTCTGTGATATACATAGTAAAATTGATTAATTAATAAATAAATATTATATAAAATTAACTTAGAAAAGAAAATAACAATTTATGTACCGTGGAAGAATTGATGGACCATCAGGAGGTATTCTATCGCCCTCAAATCTCCTTGAATCAAAGATAGGGTGATCTGGTCCAACGTACATACCACCACCTCGACTAGGACCACCTAAAGGTGGAAGACCATAACCGCTGCCGAATCTAATATTGTAAAGAAGTATTAATACAAATTTTTTGTTACTATTAGAGATTATTGTATGAAACGCACCTGGGCGGTCCAATTATAGGATTAGAGCCAAGTGGATCTAGATCGTCTCGTCCGACGCTAAAGGGGTTTTCAAATCTATTTATAACGAATGGAATAAGAATTGAACTTTTTATTTATGCCACTTTACTTGAGAGCTGGTGCTAATTGTAAAACATTATAATAATTGGTGAAATTAATACCTTGAAGGGTCGTTCATTCTGTATGGTGAATGGAAAGGAACAGATGGTCGTATACGTAAAGGATCAACTTCGGGCTGCCGATTTGGTGATCTTGGTCCAGCTTGGGCAGAAGATCTATTATATTGAGTTTTATTTGACATAAATTAATCAAATAGTTATAAAATATGAATAATATTTTGTAAAAAAAAATCACGTTGGTGTGGATTCTTCGTATCCAGGTTTATTTAGATTGGGGAGCAAATTTTGAATAATATTAATCTTGTAAAGGGTAATCAAGTCTTTTAATCGGCTCTGCGATAAAAATCCATTTATGAGAGGCTCCAAAGATTGTGTAGCGTAGGGAAAAAATGACGGTGATGTATAATGATCTGTCACTATCTCCATTGTGAAGGTTTTGTTATCCTACAATAAAAGAAACTGTTATAAAAACATCAATCAATTTTTTTTTTCGTTCACGCATTTTCACAATACCTCTATACCCATTCCATGTATTAGAAATTTATTTGATAATCGCATCCCTTTCACTAAGAAAGTAAGTGAGGATTGTGTATGCTTATATCTGAATGCGTAGGAATCTGGGCCTTTGGCATTCCATTCCTTTGGAAGTGGTCTTATCGCTGTTGTATCTTGTGTTTCTAATTAAATCAAAAGAATTCGAATACGTTCAAAATTTAATTTTATCAAGAGTTAGAATTTTCCACAGCTTAACTAACCTAAAGTTCCCTCCTCGCCCAGTCCAACAAACCGGAAGTCAACTGCGAGCATAATAGAGTGAAATAACACCGCTAATGCGTCAAGACCTGACCTAAGAATGACATTCTCAGAAGCTGAGGTATCAGTTAAGGTTTCCTCGGTTTGCGGTCTTGGTAGACTATCTTCAAGTATGTTTAATACATTGGCAGGGTCCAACGGATTCGTCTGATCAGTAGACATTTCTGATGCGTAAAATATAAAATGCAAGGGAACTTGGTTTACTTTCTAACACGATATCGTGAGTCATGCACTATACCGATACGTAATAAAACACTTGGGAAAGATCCAGATCCAGTGACTAACTAATGGATTCTACCACCATTATTGAAGAAACTTCAAATACTTTGGAACCACAACCGGAGACACCTGCTTCCTTATTTACCAGCAAAGAACAAGAAGTTTTGGATTATTTTGAACACTTGTCTTGGCTGATACAACAAAGACGCGAATATGAACATATAATCGAAAGACAGACGCGTAAATTTTAAAATTCATTCTCCTCTGCTTATTCGCCAAACCCTTTTACTTTATTGTTTTACAGAGCAGGAACAACAAAAAGCTGCGGAATCTCCACCCGCCAATGCTATAAGTAACCCTTCTGCTGACAAAATCCGAGAAGAGAAGCAAAAGCAAAATGCAGAAGAGGAGCAGCTAAAACAACGAATTAATCAGTTAAAAAGAGAATTGGCACAAGTCTCTTCTGCTAATTTGTTCAAAGATAAAGCAATTGAAAGGTATACGAGATAATTTTGAATCGTTATTATTCGAATGTGCCATTGATAAGTCTATAATTCTTCAAGTGCTAAAGCAGGAATTGTGATCCTTGAAACATTATCCCCACAAAGAACTTCAAGCAGTAACAACGATAATTTGCAACCATCGTATGTACGTGATGATCTATTCGTTATTTTTCATTCAATTGTTCGTTCGTTCTTATTTCTTCGTTAATTATTTAAAATTCATTCTGTTCTTATATCATTACGTAGTAATAATACGCTAAATGAGTTAATACTTGAAAGAGATCGTTTAGTGACGGAATTCTTAAAAATGCATCATGAACTGCTCGAAGCACAATCTGAATTGTCAAAACTCGAAAAAAAAGTTATTGGTTTGTACAAATTATACATTAATGTTTTATCGACCCGATATTTATCGTCTCTTCAATCACGTGTAACCGCTAGCTCGACATATCGAAAATCGTAAACTAATGTCGGAAATAACTAGGATTACGGAGGCCAGTTCTATCAGCATTGAAAATGGCTCGGGTCCTGAAAACAGTGAATTTTTAGGGACAATCCAACGGTAAAATTGCGGGTAAAAGAGATAAGCTAAATAACAGTGTGATGATAATAATAATATTGTCATTTTTAATATTCGTTACAGGATAAGGAAAGATCTCGAAAATACTCTAGCGAAACGCGAAATTGTCAGAAATGTTTTACAGGTAAACTATTTTTTTTAATCATTGTGCTTATTGAATAATATTCTAAAATTATCCATTAAAAAAAGGGGTTAATTCTGGAAAGTCATGTTGAATGGACAGAAGATGATCACTTGATGACAATCATGTTGTCGATTGGCGAGGAATTTTGATTACATGTATTAATTTTGATCCTATTTACTTGAAATTTTTCGATTTTTTGGTAAAAAAAAAAATTTATACTCTTAATGAACATATTGCAAAAAATGTCACTTTTCAGCATTATTTCGTTTATTGAATTTCAATAAAATTTTATTAATATAAAAAACAAGTAATAAAAGAAATTGATACTCTAACTAAAAGACATATTTATAAAGGGAGTTTTTTTAAGGTGAATTTTTTTTATTGTCGATAATTGTGAGACAAGGATTTTTAACAACCAGTATGTTAAAAAACCAATTTCTCCTATACAGAACAATTATCGTCATCTCGAATAATAATTTAATTTAACCACATTCCCCTTCTACATCACATTCCTCCAATTCTTCGGCATAATCGTCGTCATCATTTTCTTCTACCGGTGATTTTTGTTTTTCCCAGTATTTTTTATATCCCAACTTCAATTTTGTCAATACGGGATCATGTTGTTGTTGACGTCGTTGCTTTAATAAATCGAGTGCAGGATCTGCGGATTTTTGTATAACTATGGTTTCGGATGTCGAATCTTCCAGAATTTTTATTTCATTTATGTTTTTAGAGTCGAGATGTTGTTCAAAGATCTTGGTGGCTCCTGTTTTTGCATCATAAACTTCCCGCGCAACGGGTTTGGCCGTTTTCTTGATGGATATTATTGTTAAAGATACACTTTCCGAAAATTCTTTAACCATGGTTGATTCAAGTTCCTTAAAGTTGGATATTGCTTTGGAAATAATATCGTGAATTTCCGTTTCGTAACCTTTGAGATTGGATTTATCAGCCTTTTCGTGTTTCTTTAGAAATTCTTGAAGATCACTTTTAATATCAGCCTCTTGTTTAGTCAAGCTCAGCTCGATTTCTTTCGTGAGAGTTTCGATTTGATTTTTGATTGACGCCAAGGTTTCTTCGGCGTCTTTCTTTTCCTCATCCACTTTCACTTTTAATGCTTGTAAAATCTGTTTGGCGTACGAAGCAACAGCTTCTTTTTTACCAGTGATGTCCTTTGTGGAATCTTGTTTTGTTTGATCAATGAATTTTTCTAGTTTGTGAATGTGTTCAGATCCAGACGTTTTTATGATATCGACCTTTGAGTTCACCTTTTCCACGGCGATCTTCGAGTCCTTAACCTTGAATTTGAAGTTTTTGATATGTTCATCGATGTGCTGCTCTAATTTGGCTAATCTGTCGGCAATAAAATCACGGAGAGCAGCTGTGGCAGCTTGTACTGCAATTTTCTTTGTCTTTTCGTCAGTTTCCTCTTTCGCTTTTCTTTCCGCTTCCTCCTTTGCCTTTCTTTCCGCTTCTTTCGCTTTATGCTCAGCCTCTTCCTGCGCCTTTATTTCAGCTTCAAGTTTCGCTTTACGTTCAGCTTCTTCCCTTGCTTTTCTTGCAGCTTCGGCTTCAACTTTAGCTTTACGTTCAGCTTCTTCCCTTGCTTTCCTTTCAGCTTCAGCTTTGGCTTTGGCTTTACGTTCAGCTTCTTCCTTTGCCTTCTTTTCTGCTTCGGCTTTGGCTTTACGATCAGCTGCTAATTTGGCTTGACGTTGAGCTTCTTCTCTTGCCAATCTGGCAGCCTCAGCTTTAGCTTTACGCTCAGCTTCGGCTTTACGTTCAGTTGCACCTGGATTTATTTTTTCCAGTATGGTAATAAGATGAGGTTCGAGATAGATTTGATAGGTGGGAACAATGTGCTGGGTATAGGTATCGTTAATCACCACGATGGTTTGCTGTGCGGTAGGTTCGATGAATTTCGAATAGAATTCAGTTGATTTCTTCCATCCTTCTTGAAGATAAGGCAAGATGTGCTTCCTATAGTATGGTAAAACTTGTCTATCATAATAACTTTGGGACACAGACAAATAGTCCCCGCCTTGTACATAAAGTCTATCGATATGTTCTTCCGCATATTGATGATAGGCATCAAGTCCAGGCTTATACACGTACTCAGCATAATACGCTTTTACTGTGTTGACATGAGGTTCGACATACGGCTTCGCCTTTTCGACGACCGGTTTCACATGAACTTCGTATTGCTTGGCTAAAATTTTCTTTGAAGGTTCTACGTAGTCTTTTTTTAGGACGGTTATCCTTGGCTCAACATGTTTTTGAAAAAACTCGTGCTCAAGGATATATTGCGAGACACCATTCGAACAAATCCATTGCTCAGAAATCAACGAAGACTGTTTTCTATTATTTTTAATATTTTTGGAAGGTTTCTCACAAGCGTACGTCACATAAAATATGTAAAAGAGGAAAATATTTCTTATGGTGAAAAGACGTCTTATAAGTCCTGGTTTTTTCTTTGCCTGTAGAAAATAACAAAACACGTAAGTATCCACGAATTCGAAATCAAATTGACCAAATTCAACGGTGATATCTTACTTTCTTTATCTTCTTATCTTTTTTGGCTTTAGCATGCTTCATTAATTATTCAAGCGTAAACCATAAAATTTTCAGTTCACACGTTTAAAAAATAGTAAAATGAGCTAATTCCCATAAATGAAGCTTTACCTTTCCCTTCCCAGGCGATTCATTTGGCGTTGTCTCGGTTATTTCTTCTGTAGAAGGTTTAGGTGTTGGCGATTGTTTTTCGCCATTAGCTTGGGATCCATTAGCTTCAGGCACCTGTTGTTTATCCCTTTTGGCTTTAACATGCTTCATTAATTATTCAAACGTAAACCATAAAATTTTCAGTTCACACGTTTGAAAAATAGTAAAAATGAGCTAATTTGCCATAAATGAAGCTTTACCTTTCCCTTCTCAGGCGATTCATTGGGCGTTGTCTCGGTTATTTCTTCTGTAGAAGGTTCAAGTGTTGGCGGTTGCTTTTCGCCATTAGCTTGGGATCCATTAGCTTCAGAAGCCTGTTGTTGAGGTTTGCTACTAGGTTTCCTTTTGCTCTTCATACTTGAGGCTTTAAAAAAAAGATAAAAAAGAATGCAAACAAAAAAGATTTTATGACGATAATGGACGAGTATAACAATTTCTACTTTCGTGAGAAAGCGTGACACCATACCATCACCAAACCAAAATTTGACGCGTGTTTCCTTCTATACGTAGTAACAATCAAACAAAAGCCATATGATATATTGAAAAATAAAGATGACAATAATAATTTCTATTTTGATGAACAGTCAATCAACCTCCCAATCATCAAGAGGAATGGGAAAAATTAAAGTTTCCACGGAAAATTTCAAACAATGCGCTTATTTTTAATAAACATATAATTATCGATAAAATTTGATTGGTTTTTGAACTGTATGCAATTGTGTGTACCTTGTAGCCATGTGAAGAAAAACTGTCGCTTTACGTTTAGTAATACCCAATTATTCTTCTGACTCACGGTGCAAATTAAGCAACTATTTTTAATAAATAATGAAATAAAGCTTACAGATTATATAATTGTTAAAGAGGAACTTATGCAAAGATAATGTTATGCCATATAAATGAAAGCCAAATATGTATGTAATATTGAGTATCCCAAATAACGCTTTATTTTCGGTTAGAGACCTTGAAATAAAATGCGCAGGAAAACTTTTGTAAATCTCAGGGTTTTTCTACTGGATTTTGTGTTCTCGTCTTTTAACAATAAGATTTTAGCAAAACGAAGTTGAGTGTAAATGTTAAGATCATGATGCTATCCACGGTCGTTCTATCAGCCTTTAATTTGCGGATTATGACAAATACAAACGGGTGTCTATTTTCAAAATCTATGCATCACTGCAATTTCCATGTTTCGTTATTCTGAGAGTAAGGAAACCTAGACTCCCAACGAGCATTATAGCTCAAAGGGTTCGAGTAGATTATATATAAGATTGTCTTCTCGACATTTTTTCGACGTTAGATTTCGATATTTGTTTCATTCAGCAGCCAATAAGGATAGAGTAAATGTACGGGATTTTTACAATCCTCGGTTTCCCGGGCAATATCAAGGATCGACTGCACTTGTTACAAAAAAGGTTGTATCATCATGTGTAGATGATACACGTTAGAACGCGTCAATTTTATTAAACATAATAAAATTTAATGATTTTGTACAATGATCCAATTCATCACGCCAAATATTGCGGGTCGTCACAAAGTAAATGAAACAAGAACGATCTTGAACTATATTAACGATATTAAAAAACTTAATGTTTAAACTAATAAACATTTCGTATATAATAAGAATTTGATTTTGATTTGAGGAGCATTTGTGATTTTAGATAGAATTGGATACGAACAAAATCAAGTCATCGATTTGAGAGTATCAAATTTATTACTTATAAATCTTCATTCCAAAAGATGCTCTTTGCAGCAATAGGCGTGAGAGAAGCAAGTGGGCTTTTTTGATTGTTTGAAGAATGAGTTGGCGTGGATTGGTCGATTAAATGTGAGATCGAATTGTCTGAATTTGCATCTTCCTCGTCATCATCGTCTCCTTCAAAAATAACTGATCGAAGTCGACGAACAAATGGCGAATCATATATTTCCATTTTTTTGCCATGATCTTGTACTTTAAATTCTTCTTGGCTGTCATGCTCATCATCGTTATCATCGTCTCTGAGATCAGGATCTTCCCAGACAAGAAATGGGGAATTTTGTATCTTAACAGGTTCTGACTTTGCAAATTCTGACCTGGCGGATTGTGATTTACTGGATCCTGGAGTCCGTATCTTCCTTTTAATTTTTTCCGTCTTGTAGCTTTCTTTAGTAGTTGATTCGATAGGTGTAGAGAAGATGGCAAATGGAATTGGCCTCTCTTTGATTTCTGAATCGTTAGGTTTTGTTGGATCATCAGGCGTTAATCCTAATTTCTTATTAGGTGGAGTTTCAGTAGGATAAGAGGGATTAACATCATCATCATCTTCATCATCAGAATTCTGATAAAGTATGTTATCGATGTTAAGAGTAGCTGAATCTTTGTCACTGTAAATTTTCTTCGCTCTTAGTTGATTCGGAGGTACGAGGCATTGATGGGAATTTTTGTAAAATTCCAAATCCAATTCTGCAAGTGGTTCACGATCTTTGGATTTCAGACGAGGATCAAAAGAAGGTTTCGCTGAATCGTATCCAGGGGGCGGAATGTTTTCGTCGTCATATTCATCATCAGTGTAATTGTCGTCGGGCTCTTCCTCATCCTGACAAGCAGAAAGGCACGTAGAAAAAAACGATAACTGTTGGACTTTATGAAGAACAATGGGCGAAAGGTTATTCAGTTCAATATCTTGTCGGTGTAAGAGTAAAGGAGAATCGAGGTTTCTAGTTCTCAAAATTTTGGGGGTGTCCCTTTTGTTGTGGTAGTAGTCACTTGCGTCACTTTGAGGAGTTTCCAAGGTGGTTGTTCGTTGAGAACTCAGGTTTACGACATTTGGACTGCGCAGACGCGTAAAACTTGTGTTTTCAAGAACACGGGGCGAACGATTCGAGTCCATTATGTGTTATTAAAATTATTAACGTTGAAAAAGGAATGTGAAGACGCGAAAATAAATAAATATAAATCGCGAAGTAAAATATGATTTTCTTGTCGACCAATAAAAACTTCAGGTGATGTTCAAACAATAATACACGTGATTATCTAAATTCTAATTCTATATAAAAACATTGATATTCTATAGCGCAAAATTAACTTTTTGAGTAAATAAAATGCGTGCGTAATAATGATGACAATACGGCTATAATGAATAATAAATTGATAAATAAAGTTTAGAAATATTGAATATTACGAATTAAACATTCATCAATGTATTGCAAGTCAATTTGTACTCTCTTCATTGTTCTCAACAAAGATCATTGTTACCAGTGAATTTCGTATTTTTTTGATAGGGTTTTGAAGAGTTCAAAATGGTAAACGTCCTTAAATTATTGTGTCGAGCATTCTTTTTTTTCTGAGGAACACGATGATAATATTATTTAAATAGAAAATCTTATGTTTTTTGAAATTAATTACAGCCAAGTTAATATTCACTTTTTGATGTTTTGAGTCTGACTAATGTAATTAATGTATAACTAAAAAGATTCACTACGAATAATCAATCATACCTTCATGTTGTTATTTGTTAGCCAAATGTTTTTCTTCCGTTTATGTAAAACTCCAGTCAAAGAAAGCTCCAGTTAAAGAGGAATTGTATACATTAAAGACTACATAATGCCAATACATTACGTCCACCACAAGCCAAAGTCTCAACGTTAACGGGTTCAGGAAATTTTACTTTTTTTGGGATGAACTGATGTTTCGTGTGATTATGTCCATGTCCCAAGAGCCCTAGCGTGCCATTGAATCCCCATGTGTAGAGGTTTCTTGATTCTATTAAAAAAAAATTAACACCAATCCAAATATAATTGAAAAGTAAATGGAAAATGATGAGAAAAAGAATAGCATAATCAATTACCAGAAATAGCAGCTGCATAATCAATCCCAGAAAAAATTGCTACAATATTTTCACCGATTCCTTTAGAATCTTCTTCACCAAAACGCGGAATACGAGTAGGCGTAAGTTGCTCCACATGAGAATCGCCGAGTCCTAGAGGACCGTAGCCGCATACAAAAACTTGACCTTGATCTATTTATGAATAAGTAAATTAAATCATATTATAAAAATTTTTGAATGTAGGAAATGGATGCGATTTTTGTAGTTGAATAATTTATCAGATTATTGAGTTTTTAAACAAGTTTTTTTCTCAATCATGACGAATTATCAATCTTTCTATTCAATTTTTTCCTTTCGGAGAAAAGAGAAAGAAAAGAAACTCAATCAGTTGGCCCCTGAACTTTGTTCATCAGATAAAATAACTAGAGTGAGAAACGGAAAATAGCCAAATTATAGTTATGTATGATAAAGAAATTTTACTTGCCGTTTAAGTATAGACCAAATGGACCTCCACTTGCTACATCAACAATATAGTCTTTTGTGGGAACTTGTATCGGTTCTAAGATCTAAATTATAAAGTAAAATCCAATTAAAAGATTTATTTAAGTAGTAGAATAAAAGAATAAGGACAGCAAATAAAAAGTATAAGAACCCGATCAACTTTAGCTCCAGTCATGCATTGTCCATACTCCGAGTTTCCCCACGTCCATAAAGTGCCGTTTTCTAACATCAAAAAAAAAAATAGATTTGATAAAATAATAGAAATGACCAAAAGAATCAAAACCGAGCAGAATGTGAAAAATTGAATATCTACAATAAATGAATTACATCACACCTATTTATGAGTTAATCAACCCACCTAGCAAAGCCATCGTATAATCTGTCGAAGAAACAACTTTCCGTATTCGTTCTCCATCCTTATCAGATAATTTAGTTATCTTCGAGGGAACAGATTTATCTACGGTGCTGTTATTGCCTAGACCTAGTTGACCATCTGCTCCCCATCCCATTGAATATAATCTATTCTCATCTAATTTTATTTTCATTTAAAAAAAAATCAATACATGTAAATACATGACTTTTTTTGCCAATAGACGCTTACTTGTTAGAATGACTGTGTGATCTAAACCACATGTAACCTGTTTTACATTCTCATGTTCCTCAAAAGTGTCAATATGGCGCGGCGATGGTTCACAAGAGACCGCCATTGTGGGAAGAGAAGAATCGGTGGTTATTGGTCGATCTTTTTTATCTTTTCCAGTACCAAGCTGTCCGTACATGCAATCACCAAATCCGTATAGCTCTGTTTTGGTTGTCGCTTTGATTAAGATGATAAAACATGCATTTAATAATTTTTTTTCTTTTTTTTTAAGTTTTAAAATAAAATAAATACCATTATTTTCTTCATCATTATTAGACATTAAAATAAAAGAATGTAATCGACCACACGCCAACATATTAATTTTTTTATTTTTAGGTAATCCTTTCACGAGGCCTCTATGATATCCTTTTTTTGCTATTTTTTCGTGCCCTAATACAAAGAATTTTAAAGATTAATTCTCATAAGAATTATGGTTAAATCAAAATAGACATAAACCTAATTGTCCCGAATTATTCAGTCCCATTGAGAAAACAAAATTCTTTTCTCCTTGCTCGAACGCTATTAATGAGTGCCCCCATCCTGCTGAAATTTTTGTAACTTTAACATTCTAAAGAGAAAATGTAGTATTATGATATTTGATCCATCATCCCAACGCCAGATAAAAACCATAATACAAGATTATTATTGCTCGAAAAGTTAAATTTCGATCACCCTTAAGTTTTCGGGAGGGAAATTCCCGTTTTATATTTGAGGGTGAAATAACAATTACGCTGGGTGCAATAGAATAAAATTTATTGTCGTAAAAACGATCATTTTAAATAATTGATACATTAGTTTTAATCTGACCTCTTTCTCTATTGAATCTGATAATTCTGTTCCTACAGTTTGTTCAATTCCTAAAATTTTTGGTGTTTTAAATATGTGAACATCATTCTCTTCATTTTTATTAATAGTATTTTCCGAGTATAAAGACCCTAGATCACCCCAGCCAAATAAAATTTTATTGCTTTCATTACGACTAAAACGAGAAGTTGTTGAAAAAAAAACATCTTTTCTTCTAAATCTTGGTTTTTGAGATTTATAGGACAAATGTAGTACTCGCACGGTTAAAGAAATCATCATGAGGAAAATTTTTCATCTATGTTCACATCATTCATTGGGACTAATTACATCAAAAATTAGATCAGGGGTATCCCATAATTTACGTTAAATTGGGGAACACTGAAACCGGATAGTGCAATTCGGATCGAGTCAATTTATTAATTTGCATTAACTATTATATATTTTTGATCAGAAATATTAATAATTAGATAAGCATCTTTTTGAATAATATTTTAAATTATTATTTTTTTATAAAAATTAATTTAAATTATTATTAAAAAATTTAAAAGCAAAGATAAAAGATCTTACTTATAGATTTTATAAATTAATATCTAAATTTTGAGATAGAAAATATCTCTAAATATAGATTTTTAATAATTTTTTTTATTTAATAAATTATTAAATCTTTTTTTTATTTAAAATAATTAAAATATATTTTTATTTATATAATTTAATTTTTAATTAAAATTTTAATATTTTTTTACTTATAAAAGTTATTTTTCTTGTAATTTTCTGTAAATAAGAGTTTAGAAATTTTAATAAAATCTTTATTTTTAGCTTTATAAAAATATTATTTTATAATTTTTATATTAAATTTAATATTTTTATTATTTTTTAATTATATAATATAAAATATCAAAAAAATTTATATAGAAGATTCAAGATATAATAAATAATTCAAGAGCAGATAAGAATATATAATTAAATCTTAATCTTTATTATGATAATTATTATTAAAATTATAAAATAAATATAATATCTTAAATAATAAATTATGATTATATAAAATTAATAATAATAATAAATAAGAAATTAATAATATATAATATTTATATAATAGTACTTTCAAAATATACTTATTAATATATAAATATAAAAAATAAATAATTATAAATAAAAATATAAAATAGATAATACTATTATCTTTTTGATACAAGTATTAACTAAGAATAAGTATAATTCTTAAATTATTAAAAATATATATTTTTATTAAGAATTATGATATAAAAAGATTTTTAATAGTATATTAACAAGAATATATTTTTTTACTAAAAGCTAACAAAGATTATTTTTAAAGATAGATAATGATAATATTTTTCAATATAATTAGCTAGAATATAATTCAATTTTAAAGTATAATTCAAAAATAAATATAATAATTAATTTATTAATTGATAAAATAATAAATCTTAATTGAGATCTATTTAACAAGAGATATTTCTTAAAATTCTCTTTAATTATAATTTACTTAAAATATAAATTAAGAACTAAACTCATAAAACTCAAACTAAACTAAATAATAAACTAAGAGTTATTTGAACTTAACTATCTGTTCTTTTTTACTAGCTAAAATATATCACTTTTATATATTTTAAAGATTATATAAATAATATTTTTATTATAATACTTTATTATAATCTAAATATTACTTTAACTAATATTATAATATTAATTTTATTATAATAATATTATTAATTTTACTATAATAATTTTGTTAACTTTTAGCAAAAAAATATATTCTTATTAATATATTATTAAAAATCTCTTTATATTATAATTCTTAATAAAAATATATATTTTTTATAGTTTAAAAATTATACTTATTTTAAGTTAATACTCATATCAAAAAGATAATAACTTTTTAGTACTCTCTTTATAAAAAATAATTTCAAAGTGATTATCTAATTTAATTCAGATTGTAAAATAAAGAATTTTTTATGAATTAATTTGAAATTAATAAAAAATAAAAATAATTAATAAAATAATTTTATAATATATTAAAGTAAATTTAATTAGAGAAACTAAAATAGAAAAAAAAAGATTTTTCAATCAATTATTTACTTAATTACATCTTGAAGATTATAGTGATTTAGATTAATAAATCATTTATTAAAAATTCTTTTACTTTTATCAAGAAGTAATATATAAAGAAATTCAAATTAAGATAAGAGAAGAATTTGTAATATTAATTGAAAATAAAACTAAATTAATATTAGAATAAGTATAAATTTATTTATATTATAATCAATTACCTATTTATATAATGCAGTAAATGTGATACAATATATGATGTAACTATAGCACATGATATAGTAATTATTAATTATTACTAAAATAGATGAATAAGTAATTTATATTAATTAATCTTATTTATAATTAATTCTATTTTTAGTTTATATTATTATCTATATTTAATCTTATTCTTTTATTAATTTAGTTACGTGTATTACATTTAATTTATAATTTTATTAAATTAATAATTTCTTAATTAATTATTATTAATTTTCTTTCTTTTCTCACTTTAGTTTTGAATAATTTAATATTTTGCTAATTTTAAATTCTTTATTATCATGTATTTAATATTTCTTATGATTATTCTTTTTAAATTCTACTTGTTCTTGAGTAAATTAAGTAAAATATCATGTTAGAAATAATTTATAATTAGCGTAGTAAGAAAAATATTATATATAAAGAGTCAAGAAGTAATCAAGAAGAATAATTAAGTTTGATAAAAAGAATTAGTTATTGAGTTAAAAGTAATTAATTAGTATATTTCTCTAATAAACACACATATTTTATCTTATATATTATCTTATTTTCTTCTTGCTCTATTAAAAGAATATTTTAATTAGAAGTAAACTTAAGTAAACTATCTTATTGAAAAGATAATTATATTTTATCAGAAGTAATTCTTGTATATATTATCTTATTGAGAATATAATCAATTATATAATCTCTTGAAGTTATAAAAAGTAAACAATTGTCATGAACACAATTACTATTATTATTTTAAAATAATTATATACATATAATCTTAAAATGATAACAATATATATATAATTTTAATAAAATTTATAATGATCCAAGTATATATCCTGAGAGATGTTATCTTTATTATAAGTCAAAAAAATAGATACTTTATACTAATTATGAAAAATCAATTGCTTTTACTTATAAATAATGCAAAATTTATAAAAGAAAATATTATATTGTATCTTATTATTAAAAACTTTATGAAAAAGCTTTAAAAAAATATATATTAGAAATATAATTAAGTTCTAGAATATAGCTTATTTCTTTAAAATAAAATTTTTGATTAAATTAGTACATTTACTTATTTTTATTATCTTTTTTACTATTTATATACTAACTAAATAAATAATTATGCTCTATTATGTTATGTATCTGAAGTTATTATGCTTTTTTAGAACAGAAAATATTTTTAATAATTAAAAAGTTAGTTTATATTTTGGTTAAATTGATATATCTAAAATTTTATTACTTATTTTTATTATCTTTTTTACTATTTATATGTTAAATAGATAATTAAATAGATAATTATACTTTGTTATACTCTATATCTGTTTCATATTTATCTAAAAGTTCATATTCACAGTAATAGAAAGCTAATTACTAACTAAAAAGATAATTATACTCTATTATGCTATATATTCAGAATTACTATTCTCCTCTAAAACAGAAAATATTTTAGTAATCAAATAAGATATCTATAAAAATAAACTAATTTTAACTAAAAATACATCTGCTATGTATCTAAAAAGTTTTAAATAGAATAAACTAAGATTAATCAAAATACATCAAGTATGTATCTAAAAATTTTATTCACATTTTTTATTATCTGTCTTATTAATAAAAAGTTTATAAAATACTATTAATTTTGCTTTATTTTTCTAAAATAGAAAACATTTTAGCAATTAAATAAAATAACTATACTTTACTATATTATATATGTAAAGTTACTATGCTCTTCTGTAACAGAAAATATTTTAGTAATCAAATAAGATATCTATATTTTTTGATTAAATTGATATATTTTGATTAAAAAAAATTGATTTATATATATATATATGAAAGTTATCAAAAATAAGATAAAAAGCTTAAAATTTATAAAAAGAAATAGATTAATTTTAACCAAAAATCTATTATTTATATATCTAAAAAGCTTACTATTATATTATTTAATTTTATATTCTAAATTATTATATAATAATAATAATTATTATCATATAAATATAATATAATAATTATAACTAAGAATTTATAATAAAATTAGAAGAATCTTTCTTAAACTAAAATAAAATTAATAAGAATATTCTAATTATAAATTATGATCTGATGCAAAAATATAAATACATTAAAAAATAAAATTTTTAGTTATCTCTAATGAAAAATTTGTAAAATTTAATTAATAATTATAATTTTTTTATATTAAATAAAGTAGATTTCAATCTATCTTTTTATATTATTTTTAATATTTTTTATATTTTAA